TACAGAGAAACCCCACCACGCAATTTTACCTTCAGGTCCACGCACGCCTCCGGTGCCGGGGTCTCCTCTTTCTCCTTTGGGGCCATCAAACCCTGGACGTCCAGAGGGCCCTTGCAGCCCTGCTTTACCTTTAAGACCTGGCAAAGAGGCACAAGTTGATGTCTTATTATTAGCTGATTCTGATGATTTGTTTACCCAGTTCGTAAGCAATATTCACAACAACAATACAAGCAGTAATACAGACAAAGTTGTTTCATAAAATTATTAATGAACATATTCATCTTATTTCTGTAAACACTGATTGAGAATCTTAATTGATCAACTACAAAACCTAGAGCCACAAAGTAAAATCATGCAATTTGCACCTGTATCTACAAATGAACAATGTGAAAGTGCATGCAAAGACGACCTATTATGCTTTTCTCCATTTCCTGTTGTTCCATTGGTAGATTGGTGCATTAAACATGGGCAAAGTTTGAAATGTTGAGGTCAACTTGTGTAAAAATAAACTACTACAATCTATTCTTGGATCCGTGATGTCATAGAGAGGGATAGGCAGCCAATCAGAGAACATATGGTGTAAAGATGTGTGTGTGTTTGTGCCTAAATGTGATCATCATAGAGTTTAAGGCTTTAAGGCTGTAAAATCACCACAAGACATCTGTTAAATCGTACCTGGTTGTCCAGGGAAACCGGAATCGCCTGGATCTCCTGCCTCACCCGTAAATACGCAAGGCAGAGTTTGTCCTGGTAGCAGTCATACACAGGTTAGCATTCAGACCTCAAGCACTTGAATACACATTTAGAGTGAACACTTGGACACATAATAGCACATCTAAAAATGTATACCTATTTATTCTTTTCAACTAATCAAATCAGGGCAAAGAGTTGAATTAGCACAATGTAGCACAGGTCAAAATCACATGTTAATAAATACAAACAAAGTCTTCAGTATAGTGAAACATCAGCTTTAACACCATTTTAGACATATGTGATAATGTATTATTATAAATAACTGCAATATAAACACAGAGACACAGTAAAATGTTGGATAATTATATTCAGTGAATGTTTTGTTGAGGTGCTGATTGTCTATCACCTCCACTCACACCAACAGAGACTTTTTGTGCAGGGAGTTAGAAGCAAATTTATTATATTAAGAAGATAATGGGAATTAGAAATCCAGTGCGGGTTTTGTGTTTCATTTCATTCATTAATTAAAAGCATTTAGCAGAGGCTTGGCCTGAAAACATGCGCAAGATTTCAGCAGCTTTGATTGGAAGCTGAGCGTATAAACAGCCCTGAAGCTCGACAGTCAATCATTGACTGACTGGGCCTGAGTGGAAACCCTGAAGATGCAGGGAGCGAGAAGCTTCCATCGGCCTCGTCATGAACAAATGATTGACAGTTAGCCAGTAGTTTCCAGAGCGCACTATGTTTCCCATGATTAAAGGAGACTGGGGCTTTTTCTAAAAAGACTTCCCTTATGAAACATTTATAAACTGTAATAAGACGTCAAACAATAGTCTGAGCTCCCAGACTGTGAAAAATATCTTTGACACAATGCTTTTTGACAGAGCTGCAGAAGCACTGGAGTTTCTTAGGTGTTTACCAAGGGTCTACTAATATTACAAGGGCAGAATGATAAAAAGGACACCATGCGCTATTTAGGAAAATGCATAACCTGGCAACCCAAAGCTGATGAATGGCTTACATCCAGGATATCACATCATTAACCCTCTGAGATCTAAGTCATCATCTGTGCCAAACCTAAGCCTAACTATAACCCCAAGCAATCAGAATCATTCTTTCTTTTTATGCCCAAATCTTGGCAATTAGGGAACAAAGACAACAACTTTTGTTTAACCAGATTATAGGCTCAGGTTTGGATTATGATCACAAGTTATTTTGTCTCCCTAAATATACTGAGTAATTTTTCCCTTTTCTATCTTCGAGGTCCTACAGGCTTGACTAAAGCAAAACCCATGGTTATATTTTTAATGGTCATCATTGATACCATGTTTTCTTTTCTCTCTATTTTAGTTTTATGAATTATGACATTTACAGGTCTTTACACACTACTGCAATAACTTTGGACCCAACTGTTCGTGGGAGGTTTACTGGCCTAAAAAGTTTCTCTTGTTTCTGAAAGTCATATAATTGAAGCATCATTCCTTGAATGTGGAATGCTCTTTTTTTGAAACCCATCAGACAGACCGAACAGGTTGCTTCCATTGTAAACAGCAGCAGCATATTCATCCACCAGCTGCTCGTCTGCCTGAAACTAACTCTAGAGGTTCTGTCGAAGGCTCACTAGCCTGGCTGGTGGATAAAAGAATCAGTTACCCACCCTGTCCCTCCTCGGCGTCATTAAGCCCTTCACAGATGCTTTCACCTGGATAGATACACATGCACAAAGGAGGTCAGAGAGACGAGGGGATGGATGGATGGGGGAGATAAAGACAGGTAGAGAGAGAGGGAGAGGCAGAAGGTGGCAGCATACAAAGCCAGTTAGGTTGATTTGCATGCCCCAATAAAGCCATTGAGTTGGGTTTTCATCACAACAGGTATCAGCAATAAGTTCATTCAGTTCAGGCAAAAACAGGTTATTGCCGTCAACATGAGAGGAGAGAGAGGAAGGAGGGGCATCTGTCCAAACACTTCGTTCTCTCTTAACTCCTGCCAGCGACAATAACCTTCATATTAAAAGCAAAAATTAATCAGTCATCATGGTATGAAAGCACACATTCATACTAAAGATGAGTGGCCAGCTGCTGCCAAAAGGTTTGTGTCATTTAGTCTCAGGAAGATGCGGGCGTCTGCTGCCGCCATCATTTTATATTCATTGTGGCTGTAGCAAAAAACTGAAAAGTGTAGCTAGAAGCTGACTGTTGATAAGCTAATATAAGATTAGTAAAAAAAAGATTTGCAAAAGAAAAAACACATAAAAACTATGTTTTGGTTTGGTTATATAAATTTAGTTTAGCAGCAGATTTTTGGGTAAAAAGCCAGACATGGCAAACATCAAACTTCTCACCTGTTCTGAGACTAAACAAGCACAGTCGTTTTAGCTTAATCAGCAAATACATCATCATCATTAAGCATCAATCATTCCATTAAGGAAGCAGTTTATAGATTGTTGGCTGCAGGTGTAAGTACATTAATGGAGACCGTTAATCATTTCGTTAATCGTTTGCTGCTGCAGCCGAGGAAACACGGAGAGCAGGAAGCTGCTTTGGAAGAGGAAATCTAACAAGAGCCACAAGCTCTGTCCCAGTCCTGGACAGGCTGCCTCACAGAGGTCTTATAATGATCTAGCATGTGAGGATGATAACTGTTGTGTGCTGAGGATGGACAGTGATGGGATGAGGTGGTGTGCATATCGCCCTGTGGAAGAAGACTGCATGACACACATTCACATATTTTATGTCATTCTCTGTCTCACGGACACAGACTCAAAACACCATTATTTACCTTTCTCTCCAGGTGAACCCGGTATACCTGGAGAACCAGGTATACCGGGTTCTCCAGGGTCTCCACGCAAGCCGGGTGCTCCATCATAGCCAATGCCCGGCTCACCAGGGCCTCCAGGACGTCCCTTAGAACCTGGAAATCCTTGGAATCCTTTTTCTCCCCTTGAGCCGATGCCTGCATCACCCTAGAGAGGAGAGGGAAGGGAAGGAAAGAAAAGGAAAGGAAAGGAAAGGAAAGGAAAGGAAAGGAAAGGAAAGGAAGGAAAGGAAAGAAGGCAAAGGAAAGAAAGGAGAAGAAAGGCGAGAAATGGAAGAGGGAATGGAAAATAAGGAAACGGGAAAAAGGATAGTCCAGGAGAAAGGAGAAAAGGAAAGTTAGAGGAAATATAAGAAAAAGAAAGTAAAAAAAGCAAAAAAGGGAAAGCAAAGGAGGTAAGTGGTAGAAAATATGAGTAAAACAAAAGGATAATGAAAAGGTGGGAGAGAAAACAGAAGACAAAAGAAAATAAAAGGAAGGAAAAGAGAAAAAGGAAGGAAAGAGATGATAAAATACAAAATAAAAGGGGGAAGAACAGAAAGGCACAGAAATTATACAGGAGAAGAAAGGAAATAAGGGAATGAGATGAAAAGACAGGAAAGAAGCGAGAGACGAAAAACAAAAGAAGAAGAAAGGGAAAAAAACGAAATGAAAGGACAGAAAATATATGAGAGGAAAGAGGAAATGAGTTTACAATGATCCTCATTTGGATGTCTTTTTAAAAACGTATTAAATTCAAATCTTTCTGAAGATGAACTAATATGTAAACTGTGTTTCGAAGGACTCACTGGGGGTCCAGAAAATCCAGGGAAGCCAGGCAGTCCGTCTCTTCCAGGTTTTCCTGTTTCACCTGTAGGTCCTCTGGGTCCAGGATCTCCTATGGCTCCCTTCAACCCCAGATTTAGGGTGGGGTAATATGGAGCCCCCTTCTCTCCCTTACGCCCGGAGAAGCCCTGCTGACCAGGAGGACCCTGCAGAGTTACAGAAATGTGAAACTTCAGAAACTGGTATGCATGCATTTAAATTACTTATCATTATGATTAATACGATGATGATGATGATTATTATTATTAATAATTCCCATTCAAGTCATATCAAGGGCAAAGTTTTGCTTACACTAGGTCCTGGACGACCACTGAAGCCTAGTGAACCGGGGTCTCCAAGAAAACCCTTCACCCCAGGCAGGCCAGGACTGCCATTGGTTCCTGGACGTCCAGGTGGTCCAACTAACCCCGAGAAGTCTCCTCCAGAACATCTGCAGTCACCAGGGTCGCCTGCAGGACGGCGGGATTAAGAATTGTAGATTGTCACACTTTTTTTTTTGTCGCTTTCATTTCCAGTAGTTGTGTTTTAGTTTCCTTGGATACCAATGCTTCGTATTTGTATTTTGCTTGCTTTTCATTTATTACATCTGCTCCTGTGTGGGTAAACTCCTCACTCACCTCTTCACTTCTCGGCAACAATTTTGACTCATTTTTGAAAAACGCTATGATTTAAATATATTTTTGCAAGAAACAAATCATTTCATTTCATGAAGTCTACATTAGGGATGCACCGATACCGATACTGGTATCAGGTATCGGGGCCGATACTGTAAAATGTGTGTGTACTCATACTCGTAAAAGTTAACCGATACCATGAACCGATACCAACTTATTTCATTAATCAGAGGGTGGCTGGTCATTTCTGTTGTAGTTTTTTAGATTGGCCACTAGGGGG